ACCCCCCCCCTCGAAACCCCAATCCCGGCGCCGGCCGCCGACGCCCGTCGCGAGGGCGCCGCAGGTGTCCCAGACCTTGGGCAGGTGGGACGCGAGGGCGCCGTACTTGGCCCAGAAGAGCGTCTGGGCGACGCGGTACTCGGATTTGCACGCGCGGCGCTCGAACGCGCGGAGCCCCGCGCACGTCTTGCGCCAGCCGCGGTCCCCGCGGGTCGGGTCGCGCGTCTTGAACCAGGTCTCCTGGAGCTTGCGGTGGAGGCGCACGTGGCTGTGGCGGTTGACGTACCACTTGGAGAAGAACGCGCCCGGCGCGTTGATCTTGGGCCACTTGTAGCAGGCCCAGCCGTCGCGGCGGACGAGGAACTCGACCGTGTCCTGGTGCTGGGCCTTGCCTACCGAGCACGACGGTCACGATGTCTCATCGATTTCCCGGCCGAGATCTCTCGAACGTCGTCGCGGCCGCGGGACGCTGGGCCTTGCCGAGGATCATCTCGCCGCGGATGGAGACGATGGCGACGGCGTGCATGGGCACGCCCCAGACGACCTCGACGAGGAGCTCCACGGGCCGGAGCGCGTTGCCGTCCGCGCGCGCGCCGACGAAGGCCTTGGGGTTGACGACGTCCTGGACGATGAGGCAGGGGTCCGTCACGGCGTAGAGCTTGTTCGTCGACTTGGCCCACATGGCGGAGCCGTCGTCGAACTTGACGCGCATCTTCGCCGACACCCAGGACACGAACTCGTCGACGCGCGCCGTCACGGAGTCGGCGTCCGGGAGGAAGAGCGTCGACTTCTGCTGGTGGATGTGGCCGACCTTGAGGATGGCCGGGTAGGCCTGCGCGAGGAGGTAGGCCCGGAGCTCGCCGGCGTCGTACTCGTCCTCCTTCCACGTGCGCCGCACGCGCGGGTGCGGCAGGCGCAACGTCTTGAGCATGTCGAGCATGACGCACTTGTCCTTCTCGATGGTGAAGCGCTTGTCGCCCGTCGCGCCGAGCTTCGCGGCCCAGAGCTCCATGCGCGCGACGACGAGCTCGCTCCACTTCCGCGGCCGCCGGCCGCGCGCCGCGAGCGCGTCGCGCAGGTCGAAGTAGTCCCAGAGCGCAAAGTCGCGCCGCCGCCCGCGGATCTCGTCCCAGCGCGCGTCGAGGTACTTTTTGATGTGCGGCAGCGCCGCGTCCTCCGTCGACGGCCGGAAGACGACGTCGAGGATCTTCGTGGAGCGGAAGAGGAGATTCGAGACGACGACGGAGTCCCAGCTCGACGCCGCGAAGCGGCCGACGCAGAGCACGCAGAGGCCGGCGCCGAGCACCTTGGCGTAGCTCTTGAGCCTCCAAAAACTGCCCTTGGCTCGCTTGTCCTTGATGAGGCCGCCGACGGGCTTGCCCTTGTGGGCCGCCATCATCATCATCGCGGCTAAGAAAACATACCCACGTTGCAGGGGCAGCCTACAGCGCGATGGTTCGCCTGGCCCTCCTCGCCGCCCTGGCAGCCGCGGAAACCTTCGACTTCGTCCACGAGCACTGGACGGAGATCGTGGCGCCGGCCAACGGCGAGCGCTTCGGCGCCGGCGCGGCGCTCGCCGTCGTCGCCGAGCTGCGGTCCGCGTCCCTGCCGGCGGTGCGCAACGCGACCGTCGTGAGCCTGCCGCTGCGCGTCGCGACGTCGGAGCGCCTCTACAGCTTCGGCGTCGGCGAGGCGCCGGCGGACGCCGCGGCGCCGGGCCGCGTCGCCGCCTTCTGCGCCGCCGTCGGCCTCGAGCCGGCGAACTGCGCCAAGGTGACGCGCGTCGTCGCGAGCCTCGCGGCGCACGTCGCCGCGCCGGCGCCGGCGCCCCGCGTCTGCGTCGCCCTGCAGCGCGGCGGCGACGCGGCGCGCGAGGTCTGCGCCGACGGCGGCCGCGCGACGCTCGCCGTCGCCGCCGCGGCGCCGGGCGCGTACGTCGCGACGTCGGCGGCCGAGGGCGCGGCCGGCGCCGCGGCGCCCGCGGGGAGCCCCCAGGCGGCCAAGGCCGCCGTGCGCTTCGAGGTCTCCGGCTGCGCCGCGGGCGCCGCGCCGCCGCGCGG